CACCCCGATGTTTCTAGCAGCCATGTCCACAAGCTGTGGAAGGAGCCTCGGTGCCCATCGAAAGATGAATGGATAAAGAAGATGTGGTCTATGTATACAATGGAATATTACTCAGCCACTAGAAACGACAAATACCCACAATTTGCTTCAACGTGGATGGAACTGGAGGGTATTATGCTGAGTGAAGTAAGTCAATCAGAGAAGGACAAACAGTGTATGTTCTTTCATTTGGGGAATATAAATAATAGTGAAAGGGAATATAAGGCAAGGGAGAAGAAGTGTGTGGGAAATATCAGAAAGGGAGACAGAACATAAAGACTCCTAACTCTGGGAAACGAACTAGGGGTGGTGGAGGGGGAGGAGGGCGGGGGGTGGGGGTGAATGGGTGATGGGCACTGAGGGGTACACTTGACGGGATGAGCACTGGGTGTTATTATGTATGTTGGTAAATTGAACACCAATAAAAATTAATTTATAAAAAAAAATAAAAAAAAATAAATTTATTTTTTATTGGTGTTCAATTTACCAACATACATAATAACACCCAGTGCTCATCCCATCAAGTGCCCCCCTCAGTGCCCGTCACCCATTCACTCCCACCCCCCGCCCTCCTCCCCTTCCACCACCCCTAGTTCGTTTCCCAGAGTTAGGAGTCTTTATGTTCTGTCTCCCTTTCTGATATTTCTCACACATTTCTTCTCCCTTCCCTTATATTCCCTTTCGCTATTATTCATATTCCCCAAATGAATGAGAACATACACTGTTTGTCCTTCTCCGGTTACTGTGGCCAAGTTCAAAAAGGGTGTTGCCTGAGTTCTCCTCTGGGATTTTGATGGAATCTTGTCTCACATTTAGATCTTTCATCTATTTTGAGTTTATCTTTGTATATGGTGCAAGAGTGGTCCAGTTTCATTCTTCTGCATGTGGATGTCCAATTTTCCCAGCACCATTTATTGAAGAGACTGTCTTTTTTCCAGTGGATCGTCTTTCCTCCTTTATCGAATATTAGTTGACCATAAAGTTCAGGGTCCACTTCTGGGTTCTCTGTTCTGTTCCATTGATCTATATGTCTGTTTTTGTGCCAGTACCACACTGTCTTGATGAACACAGCTTTGTAGTACAACCTGAAATCTGGCATTGTGATGCCCCCAGATATGGTTTTCTTTTTTAATATTCCCCTGGCTATTCAGGGTCTTTTCTGATTCCACACAAATCTTAAGATGATTTGTTCTAAGTCTCTGAAGAAAGTCCATGGTATTTTGATAGGGATTGCATTATACGTGTAAATTGCCCTGGGTAACATTGACATTTTCACAATATTAATTCTGCCAATCCATGAGCATGGAATATTTTTCCATCTCTTTGTGTCTTCCTCAATTTCTTTCAGAAGTGTTCTGTAGTTTTTAGGGTATATTTTGAGAACCATTTGAATGGTAAATGGTTTTCCAACCTTTTATTTTCAGGTTGTAGGTGTCCTTCTGTCTAAAATGAGTCTCTTGTAGACAGCAAATAGATGGGTCCTATTTTTTTATCCAGTCTGAAACTCTGCGCCTTTTGATGGGGTCATTAAGTCCATTCACGTTCAGAGTTACTTGAACTTCTTCTTAAAGGGGAGTTTTAAGAGTCCCCCTTAAAATTTCTTGCAGAGCTGGTTTGGAGGTCACATATTCTTTCAGGTCCTGCCTGTCTTGGAAGCTCTTTATCTCTCCTTCCATTTTGAATGAGAGCCTTGCTGGATAAAGTATTCTTGGTTGCATGTTCTTCTCATTTAGGACCCTGAATATATCCTGCCAGCCCTTTCTGGCCTGCCAGGTCTCTGTGGAGAGGTCTGCTGTTACCCTAATATTCCTCCCCATGAAAGTCAGGGACTTCTTGTCTCTTGCTGCTTTAAGGATCTTCTCTTTATCTTTGGAATTTGGAAGCTTCACTATTAGATGTCGAGGTGTTGAACGGTTTTTATTGATTTTAGGGGGGGATCTCTCTATTTCCTGGATCTGAATGCCTGTTTCCCTTCCCAGATTGGGAAAGTTTTCAGCTAGGATTTGTTCAAATACATATTCTGGCCCTCTGTCCCTTTCGACGCCCTCGGGAACCCCAATTAAACGTAGGTTTTTCTTCCTCAGACTGTCATTTATTTGCCTTAATCTGTCTTCATGGTCCCTTAATTGATTGTCTCTTTTTTCCTCAGTTTCCCTCTTTGCCATTAACTTGTCTTCTATGTCACTCACTCGTTCTTCCACCTCGTTAACCCTCGTCGTTAGGACTTCTAGTTTGGATTGCATCTCATTCAATTGATTTTTAATTTCTGCCTGATTGGATCTAAATTCTGCAGTCATGAAGTCTCGTGAGGCCTTAATGCTTTTTTCTAGAGCCACCAGTAGCTGTAAAATGGTGCTTCTGAATTGGCTTTCTGACACTGAATTGTAATCCAGATTTTGTAACTCTGTGGGAGAGAGGGCTGTTTCTGATTCTTTCTTTTGAGGTGAGGTTTTCCTTCTAGTCATTTTGCTCAGTGCAGAGTGGCCAAAAACAAGTTGTATTGGAACACGGGGGAGTATCACTGGTCCGTCCAGCTGGTTTTCTGGGGGAGGGGCCTGCACTTGGGGGAGCTGCTCAGCCCCTGCCTGCTGCAGGGCTCAGCGGGGGTTGTTTACCCCGTGGGGCCCCAGGAGGAACAGCAGCAGTTGCTATGGCAACTCTGGAAGCCTGGATTCAGCCTCCGCAGGAACTACGGGGCTCGGAGCTCTCGGCTCTCCGTCCGCAGGGCCTGGAGGCTCCGGGGCGGGGCCGCTGATCTGCTCAGCTCCGGGCAGGAGCGTCCTTGCTGTCCTGGGCCCTCCCGGCCTCTGCCTGTCCCGGGGGAGGCCGGATCCTGGGCTGTGTCCCGGCGCCCTGTGCTCCGGGGCCTGCGCTGTGGGATTCGCGCTCCCGCCCTGCAGCTCCCTCCCTGGAGCCGCTCCCGAGCCCTCCGAGCTGCTCCGGTCGGTCCCTCTGTGCGCGCTGCAGCCCTTAGGGAGCTCGGAGCACTCTCCTGCGCTCGCAGGTGTCTGTTAGTGTCCCCGGGAGCCCGAGGGCATCCCCGCCCTCCTGGGTCCTGCTCCAACTCCCTGCGAGCCCCTTTCCGCCCGCCCGGGAAGGTTGGTGCAGCTCCTGCTCCTCCGGGACGGGGCTCTCCTGTCCTGGGGACACTCGCCCCGGCCTCAGCCCGGCTCCTCGCGGGGCCCCTCCCCCTCGGAGGCCTTTTGTTCCTTTATCTCTTTTTCCCCGTCTTCCTACCTTGATAGAAGCGCGAACTCTTCTCACTGTAGCATTCCAGCTGGTCTCTCTTTACATCTCAGGCCGAATTCGTAGTTTTTCAGGATGGTTTGAAGGTTATCTAGGTAATTTGGTGGGGACAGGTGATTTGGGGACCCTGCTCTTCCGCCATCTTGCCCCTCCCCTGTTTCAAAAAATAAATTTATTATAAAAAAAAAGAACTATGGTGAAGTGTGAGGAGGCAATATGAAGGAAGACCATGAGGCCTATGGAGAAGGTAGGTAACAGGTACAGGCAAGCCATCCAGGCTTGCCTCCAGGCATTGCAACCTCATTCTTGTCAGACTACTGAATATCATATTCTCCCCATTACTCCAATGGAGGAGCCAATTATATCTTTCATCTTCCTACAGATTGTGAAGTTCTTCCTTTGGGCACAGAATCAGGCCTTCAATGAGCACTGAATTTGACATGTCATACACGTTGACATGTTGTCCCTGAGGGAAGTTCATTAAAGATTCAGTGTCTTAAGGTTTTATTTGGTGGCTGGTCATACAGGCACCCTTTGCTTGACACATTCCCAAATTCCAGACTCCCAGAAGGAAAGCAGGCATTCAGCATAAACCATATTGTTTCTACAAACAGTTTAGGCACAGTGAGCTTCTTACTACTTAGGGAATGGTGGGAATCCTCTCAAAACTGAAGTTTCCAGATGCCAGCCAACAGCCAACCTTGTAGGCAGGCCTTTCTATGAAGAGCAGTCTCAGGTCTGCTATGTCAACTCCTTTTGCACATTAGCTCAGCTTCAGATTTTTTTGTGGAGTTGGCTAAGTGCCATCTTTACAGACCTACATATAAGGTGCAGGAGTGGTGGTCTTTATCATAGCTCTATTTATTCTGCAAAATTTAGACAGATCCTGTAGGATGATAGTGGACTAAGGCAAATTCAACTAAGTAGTAGCTCTGATTAGATACTGTGACAGATATGTATCTTTGCTAGAGCAGGTTAACGTGGCTATGTGTACATGGTAGGCGACTACCTATCTGGCGGGCACATGACTTTCCATCCCCGTAAGAAAACAAGATCACAAACAGTTTACATTCACATGGAATGAACAGGCCATCTAACTTTCTTGCTTCTGTTAATACAATTGAAAAAGACCTAGACCAGGTAGACATTCTACAGAAAATCACTTAGGTCACTAACACTGATGTATTGGATTATGTTAATCCGATGGAATGAGCAAGATGTGACTAGTAAATCTGAGGTCTTGATAAAGTACATGTGCTCTAGAGGGTGAGATAAAACCCATCAGTAAAATTTGGTGGGAGGAATGCCCAGGGAACAGAAGAATGCTAGAACATCCCCTCTAAGGTAAAAAACAAATTATTACAACCTGTATCTCTCACTAAGAAGAAGGAAGCACAATGCCTAACAGGCCTCTTTGGGTTTTGAAGGGAGCACATTTCACACCTAAAAATACTGTTCTCAGCTATTATACTGGGTGACATGAAAGGCTGCCAGTTTTGAATGAGGCCCAAGCAGAAAGGGCTCTAATGGCACATCCATATTGTGGTAAAAGCAGGTTTTCCACGTGGGTCATCTAACCTAGCAGACCCTATGATATTAGAGTTATTGGTAGAGGGAAAAAATACAGAAGAAATTAAAGCAAAACCATAGTACATATACTCATTTTTCTTTACTCATTTTATTGAGTAACTGTATAAAAACCACATACAAATACATTACTGGAAAAGTTACTTTATTTTTTCAAATGAATAATGGATTCTTTACTCCTCAATCATTTCTATAGTGTTTTATCTTTTTATTAAAACTAAATATTTATTTTAATACATTTCATCTTTTCTCAAAGACTGTGGTATAACTATGATTATCTTTAGCAACCAGAGTCTATTTTCAGCGACTTAAACTTGATATGGAGAAAAATGCCATGTCAAGTCTTTTGTACTTGATTTGGTGCTGAGGTTGAACCGGTGTATTGGTTTGTGCCAGGATCCAGAGGCTACCCCAAGCTTGAAAGCAAAGTGAAACCTCTAGGCTGGCCTTCGCTGCTTGTGGAACCTGTGGATGGGGGTGACTGGTTTGCTCTGCACAGGACAGTTTCTCCCTGGGCTAGGCTGGAGTATCTGGAACAGAGGACTGAGGTATTTACTGTGTCCAGGCATTTGTTTAGGGTGGCAGGTGAGGAGAACCCTATTTCTTACGTCAGATTTCTGTTAGCAATCATTTCTCCACAAGAATAAAGAGCAATGGATAGCTCTGGGTCCTCGATGACACCAATATTTGTTCTGTTACCTCTCAGTGATATTAAGACCAATGACAAAGAAGAGAGGGCTGAATTCACTGTGAACACAAGTGGTAAAAGTGACTGTGGCAACTGTGATCATGACACAAACGGGGCTGTGACTCTTGGAAAGGTTTCCTGGGCTGGAGTTTCTCTAACTGGTCAGCAGACGGCTAGAATGTGGACAGATTGTGTTTGGACCAGTCCTACTTTTCTCCACTGTCCACTGACTTTAATTTTTATACTCAAAATAGTCTCCATCTCTATCACAGTATCTCTATAAAACCTAAGATCATACCCAAACTTCCCCTTAGAATGTCCATAAAGAATTCAAAATTAAATAACTAAAATAAATAATGGGTAGCTGATGAAATTTTTTTTCTAGGTAGTAAAAAGATACGACCTTACTGTTTCTTCTTAACATAATGCTGACCTCTGAAATGTGGAAAGGTTCCCATTCAAAGGGAAGGTTTGGAATCCTACATAAAAATATAACATGCATTTACACACAGAAAATTCTTGAATACAAAGAAAAGTTAAGTGACCATATCCTTGCTGATATTAATATAATGCAAATAAAATATCCATGAGCATTTGAGCACAAAATGCAATTCATTTCTCATTAACACACTGAAACAACTGATAATCATATTCTAACGTACTATTGCATAGACATCAGAATGAGGTTTGAATACGTACATACTCTTCAAAGTAGAATTTGACGTTGGGCTGGTAATTCTTATTCTAATCTATTGTATTTATGACTCTTAATTTCACTGTTTTTTATAAGAAGTTAGGAGAAAAGGTAAATTTCTGATACTTGGATCAAAAAATAGCTAAAGGTTCTTCTTTTGTATATTCAGTAGGAAGCTACTCTAAAACTGCTGCTTTACTTTCTTTAAACTAAAGCCTTTGGACAGTATACTCTCCTAATCACAGGAAAATATTCTAACCCTTTCTCCAAATTCTTTTGCAACTGGAAGAACCACAATCATTAGTTTTTAATGATTCTACCTACATTTTATATTTTAGAAATGTCATCAATATTACTTTCTGTAAAATACAGAACATTAAAAATATTCAGCTAGTACTAGCATCTAGATTTTGGAGATATTCCTTTATAATGAAACAAAATGTTCAGAACAACTGCCAGCAACCAACCATGTAAAAACCAGATTTATGACCCTTTTTTGCTTCTTAAATGTATACAGGTTTACATCAAAGTGCTCCTAGAGCAGAGGAATGATGTACCATACTGAAAAACTGCGACCTTGTCAGAGGTCTTCTCAACTTGGCTCTGAACAACTTTAAGAGCCAACAGATTTGTACCATATGCTATTCTCAGGGTCAGTATTATGGGATGTCAAGTAAAAAAAAAATTGGTATTACTGATAACAAAAATATCTTGGATTGGATCAAGATAGACATACGTTAGAAATGAATTCTGCTTTATAGTAAAATACATTTAAAGTATAATTCAATGAACTTACCATAAAGTATACGTAAGTAAAGGTACTCCTTTGAAGTCAAAAATCTGATGCTGCTGAAGGAGAGTCCAGTTCCTATTACCATTGCTGAATATGGCTAATTTGATATCATTTCCTAAGTTCTGTGGATTCTTCTTGATCTTTTAACATCTTACGATAGTGACCTGGCACTAGTTTAGCTCTATAAAAACATAATTGCCATAAATCACACAAAACATAACTAGCACACATTTCTGTACATCTTCAAAAAAAAATCTTTGGGTAACAACTAAATAAATAATGCTACAGAAGATCCAAAGAAGCACTCTAAATGATGGATAGTATTTAATGATGGTAAATGAGAATTATTTTCTAAATAGCTGTAGCAATGTTAATTTTAGGTAGAACATAACATGGAATTATTTCATGAAATATAGTCTCTTTTTATGCTTTCCTGACAACACTCCCAACAGAAAGCTTCCAGTCTATTTGCTGTTTCTTGGCTGATGAGACATTCATCTTTTAATTCCCTGATCGTCTTCCTCAATGATTTTTGGAAACGTTTTTCTCGGTCTAAAACATTCCGCAGACTTTTCTTGGTATCCTCTAGCTCGCGGATCACATGATCTAATTTATGCTTAAGTTTCTTTGGACTGTCCATTACACTGTAGCTATGTTCCTAAAAACATAAACACCAAGTTATTAAACCAGAGAGACAAGTAGTTACATAAAAGCTTATAGCTAGCTCTCAGCTGTTTCTCCATTTATAATGCTTAGGTATCTTTAACTTGGCAACACTTAGAGGTTTAAAGAACACAGGGACAAGATGGGGGTAGAAGCAATATTTTGGCTGCTAAGAGCCTCCCTCCTTCATCTAAGGCTAGATGTAATATGAGGGTACAGAATCTATGGATGGGAAGTACTGCTAATTGGGGCTAAGTATCTGCTATCAACAAGACATTTGTAATAACTATATATGGCTTTTTATTCCACGGGTGTGGGGCTGCTAAGTTTAAGCTTTACCTATCAACAAATATTCAGTTGTTAAACTTTGAACTATTTTATTTTATTTTGATGAATATTTGTTTTATTTTTTAAAAAAGTTTTTTTTTTTTTTTTAAAGATTTTATTCATCCATTCATGAAAGACACACACACACAGAGAAGCAGAGACACAGGCAGAGGGAGAAGTAGGCTCCATGCAGGGAGCCTGATGGGGACCCGATCCCGAGTCTCCAGGATCATGTCCTGGGCTGAAGGCAGGTGTTAAACCTCTATGCCACCTGGGCTGCCCTATTTTTAAAAGAAGATTTTATTTATTTATTTACGACAGACACAGAGTGAAAGAGGCAGAGACAGAGGCAGAGGGAGAAGCAGGCTTCCCTACGGGGAGCCTGATGTGGGACTTGATCCCAGGACCATCCCGGGACCGCAGGATCACGCCCTGAGCTGAAGGCAGATGTTCAACCGCTGAGCCAGCCACCAGGTGTCCCATGAATATTTGTTTTAAAGAAGATGACAGAAAAGGAGCCCTAGGGCTGGTCCTCAGGCTGAGTGTTATATATTTAGAGAGAACTCTGGTTTGGGGTTTTAGAGAGAATTGAAGCTCTCTCGATATTTATTATGGTTATGCTTAAGTTTGCTGGGTATACTTTTTTTCATTTGAAAATAGGGAAAGTAACACTGACATATCTTAAAAAGCTACTATAAAATAATTTTGAAAAGCTGTTAATATTAAAATTAGTAAAGAGGACTTTGCTTCTAGCCAAGATAAAATAACAGAATTGGGACACCTGGGTAGCTCAGTGGTTGAGCGTCTGCCTTTGGCTCCGGGCATGATCCCAGGGTCCTAGGATGGAGTCCAGCATTGGGCTCCTTGTGTGGAGCCTGCTTCTCCCTCTGACTGTGTCTCTGCCTCTCTGTCTCTGTGTCTCTCATGAATAAATAATTTTTTTTTAAAAAAAGAAATAACAGAGAATGAATTGCTTATCTAAAAAAACCCAACACGTGGCTAAAAGCCATAAAAAAATGTTGTGCAGATATCCGACATCAGTCAAGGAAGGCAGCAATCCTAGAGGGATGGGAAACTAAGAGGTGAGCCTTATGGCCAACCACCCAGCTTACTGCTTTGAGAGAGAGTGTATGCCTCATTGCAAGGAGGGGAAACCTAGGCAGAGCTTGGTAGACTGAGATTGTCCAAAGTGTCCAGAAAAACCAAGGTGGCTTCAGTTCAGTTCACAGGAGAAAGTACTAGAGGACAGAGAGAACTCTGAAGATCCTTACATGTTCCACACAGGTAGGAAACTGCTCATGGCTGGGAAAAGAATGACCAGAAAAGACCAGGAATGCCCTGTGCTCAGAGGGCATGGCCACTATTCCCACCCCTGCCAGATTAGAATATGTAAAGATTCATGGGGGCACTGAAGAGTATACAGAAGGGTCTTGCTGCCATAGTGGAAAAAAATAGCCCTAGACCAAATACTCTTCTAGTCCTGCTTAACAAACAAAACCTGAAAGGATATAACTTTGTGGTATCCCAGAACAAAGCCCAAACAGGATACAAAAATATCCAGCATCCAGCAAAGTAAAATCCACAAGGTGACACACACCATTAATCAGGTATGCAAAGAAACAGGACAACACAAGCTATCATAAAAGATAAGAAAGGGAGACAGAACATGAAAGACTCCTAACTCTGGGAAACGAACTAGGGGTGGTGGAAGGGGAGGTGGGCAGTGGGAGGGGGTGACTGGGTGGTGGGCACTGAGGTGGGCACTTGACAGGATGAGCACTGGGTGTTATTCTGCATGTTGACAAATTGAGCACCAATAAAAAATAAATTTATTAAAAAAAAAGAAAGAAAAATCCTAAAGCTAAACAAAATAAATAAATAAAGATAAACCAGTCAATGGAAACTAACCCGGAATTGACATAAATGTTGGAATTAGCAGACAAAGGAATTATGAAAGCTATTAATGTTGTATTCTATATTTTCAAAAATTAGGTAGAGACATAAAAGATATAAAAAAGAATCAGGACATCTAGAGATAAATCTACAATGTGTGAGGTGAAAAATACATTGGAGGGAATTAATGGCAGATTAGTGAAGGTGAAGATACAGCAATATGAACTATCCAGGATAGACTACGAGAGAAAAAGGAATCCAGAAAAACAAAACCAGAAAAATATCCAAAAAATTAGCAGAGCACAAGTGACTGGTAGTAAGACTCAAATAGCCTAATATACATTAAATCAGGGTCCTTGAAGGAATGGAAAGAAAAGTTGAGGTAGAATGAAATATCTGAAGAGTCCATGGCCAAGATTTGTCCTAGTTTGATGAAAACCAAAATCCCACAGATAAAGAACCTCAAAAATCCTAAGTACAAGAAATATGAGGAAAACTAAACTAAGGTATATTATAATCAAATTATTCAAACCATTGGGAAAGAAAAATTCTTAAAAACAAAGAAAAAAAGAAATGTTAGGTATAGGGAATAAAGATGACAGATTTTTCATTAGAAACAATGCCTGTGAGGATACAGTGGAGCAACATCTCTGAAGAACTAAAAACAAAACGAAACAAATCTCCAAAACTATCAACTGAAGAAATCTTTCAAAAATGAAGACTAAATAACGACTCCCTTCAGAAATATTAAAGCTGAAAGAATTCGTCACCAGCATAGCTGCACTGTAAGAAATGTTAAAGTCCTTTAGACAGAATGATACCAGATAGACACATTGGACTTACACCAAGGAATGAAAAACCCTGGCAATGGCCACTTACATGGGTAATGTATACAATTTTTTTCTGATTATTTATATCTCTTTAAAAGATAATTTATTGTTAAAACAAAAATGGTAACAATGCAGTGTGGGGTTTATAGCATATGTAAAAGTGAAATATATGATAGCAATAACACAAAAACTGGGAGAAGGGAAATGAGAGTATTGTAAGATTCTTATACTATATGTTATATGGAATAATATCACTTGAATATAGCCTTTGATAATTTAAAGAGGAATGCTATAGATTCAAAAGCAATTACTAAAACAAAACAAAAAGTTATAGCTAATAAGTCAAAAAAGGGATATAAAATGGAAACAAAAATTTCAATCCAAAGGAAAAAAAAAAGGCAAAAAAAGAACAAAATGGGAACAAAGAACAAATGGAACAAGTAGAAAACAAGATGACAGATTTAAACCAAACAATAACAATAAACATATTAAGTGTAAATGGTCTAAATAATCTGATTAAAAGGCTGAAATTAGGGATGCCTGAGTGGCTCAGTGGTTGGGCATTTGTCTTTGGCTTAGACCATGATCCCAGGTCCTGGGATCAAGTCCTGTGTCAGGCTCCCCACGGTGAGCCTGCTTCTGCCTCTGCCTGTGTCTCTGCCTCTCTCTCTGTGTCTCTCATGAATAAATAAAATCTTTTTAAAAAGGCTGAAATTATCAGATTAAATTAAAAAAATCAAGACCCAAAAGTATAAAGTGCACTTCAAAGCAAACTAAATAGGTTGAAAGTAAAAGAGTGGAAAAAGATACAGATCTTCCGCCACTTATGATGAGTTTCACAAGGCCTATTTTATAATAAAGTGTTGAATATCTTATGTAATTTATTGAATACTGTTATTGGAAGTAAAAAAAAAAATAGTTGTATGGGCCCAGAATGGTTCTAATATAACTAATCATATTAACAAACTAAAAACCCCCCACATGATCTCAATAGATACAGAAAAAATACTTGACAAAACCAACATTCACTTTTGATAAAAAGTCTCAGCAAACTAGGAACAGAAAGACACTTTTTCAACCTGATAAAATGCATTTATGAAAAACCTACAGTTAACATTGTATTTAGTGGTGAAAGACTGAATGCCTGCTTCTTAAAATCAGGAGCAAAGCCAGGAGATCCGTTCTCAATTCTTCTATTCAGCACAACCCTGGAAGTTCAAAGCAGTGCAATAAAGCAAGAAAAAGAAGTAAGAGGCATCCATATTGGAAAGGAAGAATTAAAACTGTCTTTAATGACAGACAACACGATTATGTAGAAAACCTAACAGACTCTACAAAAAAGCTTTTATAATTAAAATGTGAGTTTAGCAAGTTTGCCAATACAAGATAAGCATACAAAAATAAACTTCCATATATTATAAGAAAAAACAAAACAAAACAACACCATTTATAATGGCATCCAATCACATACAATAGTTAGGGATAAATCTGACAAAGTTAAAGAATGGTATATTGAAAACTACAAAGCATTACTGAGAGAAGTTAAACTTAAATAAAGGTGAGATATAATGAGTTCACAGGTTCAAGGACTTAAGATAGTTTCCTTACAATGTCAATTCTTTCCTCAAAGGAATCAGTAGATTCAACACAATCCCAGTTAAAACTCCAGCAGGAGTTTTTATAGAAATTGCTACAAAGTGATTCTAAAATTCACATGAAAATGCAAAAGATCTAGAATATTCAAACAACTTTGAAAAATTACAAAGTTGGAAGACAAACACTGCCTGATTTCAAGAATTATTATAAAGCTATAGCAACCAACAAAGTAAAAAGATCTGGATTCTAGGTCTAGCTGTAACATGAATATGCAATGAGGCAAATAATCATGCAAGCTTGAAAACTCTGTATGAGTATAACCGTTCTTTAAGAAAACCTAAAGAACTAACTATATTTTTTATTATAGTTCCATGTAGAAAATATAGTACCCAAAAGGAGAAATTAATTATTGCCTTTTTCTTGGTAAAAATACCTGTGTGAAAACACTCTTTGAACTAAGTATGTAACCAAAGGATTAACTACCTCTATATTAATATTGTATTATAATGGCCCTGGGAAACATTATAATGGCCCTGGGAAACAGTATTATTTTGGGACATTACATCTATATTAAAAAACCTCAAATACCTAAGCCTCTAGTTTAGTCTTAGTGGAAAAGGCATATTATCTTAAAAATATTAACATTAGGTCAGTAAGTAATTTTACTTACAAAAATGAACTGGGATTGGAATTCTTCAGGACATGAGGAAAGACCAACAAACTGGTGATTGTGGTGTGTGACTGGAAGAGTTTTGAGGGTGAAGTTTTTTCTACAATGAAGTTTTTCTCTTTTCCCCTGTTAAGAAGAGTTAATAAAAATCATTATAGATACTTCTGTCCTTTCTTAAATTTTTATTCCTTCTTAACTTTGTCTAGTGGAATACAATATTTCTTTTCATGGAAACTGCTTGAAAAGCTCAGTAAAATTTAAATTTCTGAGATTAGTTTAAAGGAACTTCTAGAAAATAACTCTAAAGTTCATCTAGAAACACAAATTTTCCTAAAATAAGAGTGTGATTGAGAAAGAATGTCTTACCACATATTAAAGATATATTACTCATTAACAACAGCTAATATAGTGTGCTACTCTTTTTTTTTATTTTTTTTTATTTTTTTTATTTTTATTTTTTTTTTATAAATTAGTTTTTATTGGTGTTCAATTTACCAACATACAGAATAACACCCAGTGCTCATCCCGTCAAGTGTCCCCCTCCGTGCCCGTCACCCATTCACCCCCACCCCCCGCCCTCCTCCCCTTCCACCACCCCTAGTTCATTTCCCAGAGTTAGAAGTCTTTATGTTCTGTGTCCCTTTCTGATATCTCCCACACATTTCTTCTCCCTTCCCTTATATTCCCCTTCACTATTATTCATATTCCCCAAATGAGTGAGAACATACACTGTTTGTCCTTCTCCGATTGACTTACTTCACTCAGCATAATACCCTCCTACTCTCTTAAAGATGAGACGGAGAAATCTAGAAATAGATCAGGTAGCTTAAAATGTTTCAGGATAAAAAATGGCAATCTAAGTAAGTGGAGAAAACCTGGGACACCTGGGTGGCTTGGTCAGTTTTTGGTTTTGGCTCAAGTCAGGATCTCAGGGTTGTTAAAGAATAAGCTCTGCCTTGGGCTCTGTGCTCAGCAGGGAGTCTGCTTCTCCTCCTCTGCGCTTCCCCCACTTTGCCCATGTATGGGCATGCCTGCTCTCTCCCTCTCAAATAAATAAAAACTTAAAAAAAAAACAAATAAAAACTTTAAAAAAGTAAGAAACGCAATACAGAAGAAATGATATAAATCATGCAAAAAATGAACTAATTAAGGTTATATCCTTTATATACAATGAATCATGCTGAAATTCTAGTACTGAAAATTTATGTAAAAACGAAAATCCTTAGGAACTAGAAAAAAAGGTAATCTTTATATTATCTTAGGGTGGGGAAGGCTAAAGTCAGATAATTCAATTGAAAATATAGAATTGACTATTTAAAAGAGACATCTGAATTTCAAGCAAAACAAAAAAAACAACCTGATCATTAGGACTAAAGGCAACAAAAAGGAACTGCCACACAGATGGCAGTTAAATGATCCCTATCTTCAACAAACAGCGTTTTTACATGTAGGTTAGAAAAAAGATGAAAATAGATGAGGACCTCAATATAAGTAACTCACAAAAGAAAATATATGAATGTGTAATAAACACATAAAAAATGTTGAGACCATATTAAAAATATGTTAAAACAATAAAATGTCATTTTAACTGTCAGTTTTAACAGAGGTTAAAAACACAACTTACTCTGAGGATTAGGGTGGATCGAACCTTCCATGTATAGGTAATAGGGGAATAGATTGGTACAAGTTTCCCCTTGGGCCTTTGGGGCTCTGTATCAAAAGAAAAGGCTTTAAAAATGAATATAATCTTTGATTCAACAATTTTATTTCCAGGAATTTAGTTTGAGGAAATAAGGATATATACAAAGATTCACCTAGAATAATGTTCATCACAACACTATTTAAAATAGCAAGTGATGATAATCTAGATACAACAGTGATCAGTTACATAAACCACTGTTCATACATAAAATCAATTGCTACATGGTCATTTTTAAATGCTGCATAAAATTGATACCACCAGTTACTGACAAGGATATAGAACCAGAAGAACATTTATATGTGGATGATAAGACTACAAATTAGCAAAACCACTTTGGGAAAATGATGGCAATATCTGCTGCAGCTGAACATACACATCCCTGGGACCCAGTAGTTCCTCTTCTAAGAGAATTGAATTACTTTGCAGATATGTGAACCCAAGTGCACCAAAAGGCATGGAGAAAAATACTCATAGTGAAAACAACAACCAAAAATTTATCAATAGGATGGTGAAATTATAACGTAGACAATACTATATTGCAAAGTAAATAAATGGACTACCGTCACATACTACAACATGGATGAATCGCATATAGAAAATGTTGAGCTAGGGATCCCTGGGTGGCACAGCGGTTTAGCGCCTGCCTTTGGCCCAGGGCGCGATCCTGGAGACCCGGGATCGAGTCCCACGTCGGGCTCCCGGTGCATGGAGCCTGATTCTCCCTCTGCCTGTGTCTCTGCTTCTCTCTCTCTCTCTCTGTGTGACTATCATAAATAAATAAAAATTTTAAAAAAAACATTAAAAAAAAGAAAATGTTGAGCTAAAGAATTAGACTGGCTCTATATCACTGACAGTGATATAAGTCAGGATAGTATTTACCTTTGGGGGGTATAGTGACTGGGAAAGAGCATGAAGGAGGCTTCTGGGGTGCTGGTAATATTTTACATCTTGGTTTGAAAAGAGTTACACAAGTGTATTCTCTTTATGACAATTTATTGTTAGGTACATTTATGATGTGTGCACTTTTCCATATGTATGTTATATCTTAGTATAAAGTTTTGTTTAAAAACTAGATGTTCTAAAAAAAAGGATGTTCTGTATAGGTTTCTCTTAAAAATATAGTCTGTAGATCTGCAACACAATTGTGTGGGGTGCTTGTGAAAAAAATGCAGCTTTCTGGACTCCAGCATAGGATTATTTTCTTTTATATTTATTTTATTATTTTATTTACTTTTTAAAGATTTATTTTTTAATTTAGGAGAGTGTGTGAGTGAGGGGAGGGGCAGAGGGAGACAATCTTCACGTAGATTCCCTGCTGAGCATGGAGCCCTACTTACAGCTTGATCTCAAGACCCTGAGATTATGACTTGAGCTGAAACCAGGAGTAGGTTGCTTAACTGACTGAGCCGCCCAGGAGCCCTGGATTATCCATTTTAAACAAGCTCCTTGGATAGTTCTTATGTAGACTAAAGTTGGAAAGCCATTGTTACGGAAAAATATTTAACACCATGGAAAGTAGTAGTTAACAGACTTTGGAGTCACGATGTCTAGGTTCAAATACAGCCTCTGCCATTTAGTAGTTGTGTGACCCTGGAGAAGGTATTCCAGTTCTCTGGACCTAGGTTTCCTCAATAAGTAAAATGAGAGTAATAATAGTATTTATTTCACATGGCAGTTAAGAGGACTGAATGAATTTACATATAAGGTGCTTAGAATAGTGCCTGGTACCTAATAAACACTATATAAATGCTGAGATGAGAGAGAGAGATGAAAGAAAATTAAGAATAAGCAGTTGATCCTTGAACAATGCAGGGTTAATGGCACCAATTCCCTTGCACAGTTGAAAATCTGTGTATCACTGATGACTCTCCCAAAATTTAACTACTAATAGCCTGTTTGTTGACTGGAAGCCTTACTGAAAACACAAATGGTTGATTAACACATATTTTGTTTATATATTCTATATTGTATTCTTACAATAAACTAGAGAGAATGTTATTAAAACCTAAGGAAAAAATACATTTATAGTACTGTACTGTATTTATTGAAAAAAATCTGTGCATAAGCGGAACTATGCATTCAAACTCTGTTGTTCAAGGATCAAATGTACAGTGTAATTATATTTTTGTAATATACAGATAAACTTATATGCAAACATATACATACAAATGACTGGAAAGATATATATCGAAGTGTTAAAAGTATTATCTCTGGATTATATGGTTATTGCTAATTTATTTTTTATTTTTTTACAGTAGGCTTTATGCCCAATGTGGGGCTTAAACTCAGGACCTTGAGATTGAGTCACATGCTCTACTAAAACAGCCAGGCGTCCCTAATTATTCCTTTTTTAAGAAGATTTATGTATTTATTTTAGAGAGAAAGCACAAAAGCATAGGGGAAGGGCAGAGGGAGAGAAAGAAGCAGACTCACTGCTGAGCAGGAAGCACCATGTGGGGCTTGATCCCAGGACTCTGGGATCATGGCCTGAGCTGAGTCAGATGTTCAACTAACTGAGCTACCCAGGCACCCCCAATTATTCTTAATTTTTTTTTTTTGCTTGTTATCATCTAATTTTCTATAATGAAAAACTTTTTTTGTTATAAGGGTATAAATAGTTTGTGAATGTTAGTAACTTATAGTTTAATTATGCCCACATTTTCTAAGGTTTTTAACATTAAAGCTAGAGGGCACTTGCTATAAGGGAAGAAAACTCTTCACAACAATTTGCACAAGATATTGTGCATTTAGGGATCCCTGGGTGGCGTAGTGGTTTAGCGCCTGCCTTTGGTCCAGGGCGCGATCCTGGGGTCCCGGGATCGAATCCCACATCGGGCTCCCGGTGCATGGAGCCTGCTTCTCCCTCTGCCTGTGTCTCTGTCTCTGTCTCTCTCTGTGACTATCATAAATAAATAAAAATTTTAAAAAAATTAAAAAAAAAGATATTGTGCATTTATTAATATGGGAGAGAGTGAGACAGTCTCTACTTGATCACTCAGGCACTGGAATATGACCAAATAAAGACATTGGCACTGTGGCCAAGACCACATAGGTACATTTCTGGGTTACAGACCTTCCTTGGCTTATGATAGGGTTACATAAATTGAAATACTGTGAGTTGAAAAGGCATTGATACACCTAACATACTGAACATAATAATTTACCTTAGCCTACCTTAAACATGCTCAGAACACTTACATTATATAGTTGAGCAAAGTCATCTAAAAGCCTATTTTTATTTTTTTAAGATTTTATTTATTTATTCATGAGAGGGAGAGAGAGAGAGAGAGAGAGAGGAGAGAGAGAGAGGCAGAGACACAGGCAGAGGAAGAAGCAGGCTCCATGCAGGGAGCCCAATGTGGAACTCTATTCCGGGTCTCCAGGATCATGCTCCGGGCTGAAGGTGGCGCTAAACCGCTGAGCCACCCTAAATAAAATAGGGTTGCCCCCTATTTTATTTTTTAAAAGAGTAAGCACGAGGGGCAGCCCTGGTGGCTCAGTGGTTTAGTGCCGCCTTCGGCCCGGGGCCTGATCCTGGAGACCCGGAATCGAGTTCCACATTGGGCTTCCTGCATGGAGCCTGCTTCTCCCTCTGCCTGTGTCACTGCCTCTCTCTCTCTGTATCTCTCATGAATAAATAAATAAAATTAAAAAAAAATAGAGTAAGCACGAAAGCAGGGACAGAGGGAGAGAGAGAATCTGAAGCAGGCTCCATCCCATCTGAGACCATGACCTGAGTCAAAATCGAGAGTCAGACGCTTAACCAACTGAGCCTCTTGGTGCCCCAAGCCTATTTTATAATGAAGTGTTGATATCTCCTGTAATTTATTGAATACTATACTGAAACTGAAAAATAGACTGGTTGTATGGGTACAGAATGGTTGTCAGTGTATTGGTTGTTTACCCTCATGATCACATGGCTGTAGATCACTCCCAAGTCCAGCATCAAGAGAGTATGGTCTTGCATACTGCTAGCCCAGAAAAAGATGAAAATTAAAAATTCAAGGTATGGTTTCTATTGAATGCTTATTGCTTTCATACCATCATAAAATTGAAAATCATAAGTCCAGGACCATCTTACTTCCCTTGTTTCCAGCTGTACTAATATCACAGAAAAAACACCAAATTCAACTGGATTTTACTTATACAATCCTTTTATTTTCTTTTTTTTTATCTCTTCTCTCCTTTCATCCTCCTGTTCGCATCTCTTTGGCTTTTCTTCCTTTCAGTTCTACTTAGGCTTTGGCTCTAAAACTATACTTTGGTTCTGTTAGTCGCTCTGCTCTTGACTTTTGTTTCAGTGTGAGGAGGACTGGCAACTTGGAACTTCAGTTCAACCCTCTTATTTTCCTCCATTGTTTAGATACAAATCCTGAGTTATATGAACTCCTAAAGTCAGTCTCCTTCATCAATCTTAGCAATGTAAAATATTTGAGTGGCTACTGGTACTCCTACTACATATTACAAAAGCTGAAGCAGTAGCTCACAAATATAAAAACTCAAAAAATGGATTTCAAAGAAATAAGTAAACAGTAAAAATGTTAGTTCTTCAGTAGTACCATAAAAAAGGAGTAATGATGGTAAGCAGTGTCTCATAAACAAACCTGCAAGTGAGATGGGGGGTCAAAGATAGAAGGTATGACTCCAGGTTTCAGTTTAATATTTGGAGTACTTCTATCAAAATCTGTCTTCTTAAAATGCCTTGAACACAACACATCTCCTTTTTTAGGCTCCCAAATGCCTGCAGCATTCACATCAAGTCTTTTCATTGCTAACACCCATTTTCTTTTGACGTTTTCATCTGTGGGGAATCTAGAAAAAAATATAAAAAGCATTTTAAAATTAAACACTATTGATAGATATGTGAATTCAAGCTGTGACTATATTGGTTCGTTGATGAGTTTGTTATAACTCTTGGGAAATGGAATATTCAGGAAAGCCATTGTGAATCATGCTTTCAGAACTTTCAGTTTTAATAGGTTTTTCTACCAATAACACTGCAGACATATAGCCTTCATTTCAATTTTCCTCATACTATAAAGAAGAAAAGTTTCAATGGATATTTCAAGCTTATAGGAAGACCTACAACTGGAGGTTTTTCTTCATCTATACATGATAATAACACTTGGGTCTTTTCCTATGTGACGTGATATCCAGAATTTATCCCAGAGGAATAGAGTATCTTGTACTTTCATTCTTCTGTCAGCATCAGAAAGTTATTCACTATAGCATCTAATACATAGTCTATAAATGCTTAGTGAAGGAAGGCAGAGAACAGCTGCAGAGTTTGGAGTTCTAGAGAAAAGAACTATCTTGAGAGATCTGGAAACTAATAACTATCTTTTCACTTTTCCAAGCTGATTCAAATCTCTTTTGGAATAAGGTAAGATATACATATCCATTTTTTATTTCCTCATACCTCGCAAAGTAGTTAGCAACTCTTTCTCTAGTATGTAGCACAAAAGCAGCAAAATAAACTTTTGGCAAATGAATAATTATTAAATCTTATTACTCTTTCTTTCCTTTGCTGTCAGAAGAATGGCTAAAATAGAAAATTAGTAGGATTATCTTGATTTACATGTAATACTGCTAAAGAACCCTTGGTCTGAATTTGTAATTTATATTTTTTCTCTATAACCTAAGTTTGATCTATTTCTAATTAGAAAGACAGAACAGGGCGGGGGGGGGGGGGGCGCTCAGCAGTTTAGAGCCACCTTCAGCCCCAAGGCCTGATCCTGGAGACCAGACCCGGAATCGAGTCCCACGTTGGGCTCCCTGCATGGAGCCTGCTCCTCCCTCTGCCTGTGTCTCTGCCTCGCTCTCTCTGTCTCTCAGGAATAAATAAATAAAATCTAAAAAAAAAAAAAAAAAAAAAAAGAAAGAACATATTTGGGCAAAGATCCTTTCTTCCTTCAGATTGTAAACTCCATATAAACAAAACTGGATTTCTTTGAAGGTCTGTTAAAATGCAAAGTAGGGATCCCTGGGTGGCGCAGCGGTTCAGCGCCTGCCTTTGGCCCAGGGCACGATCCTGGAGACCCAGGACCGAATCCCACGTCAGGCTCCCGGTGCATGGAGCCTGCTTCTCCCTCTGCCTGTGTCTCTGCCTCTCTCTCTCTCTCTCTCTCTCTCTCTGTGTGACTATCATAAATAAAAATTTAAAAAAATGCAAAGTAATGATATTAGAAAAAATGAGCTTCATATTTTTGTTTACTAGCCATGGCAGGTATCTTAAACTTTTAGACTAAATTATAAAAAGGTATCACCGGCACTTCAAATCAACTAAAAAAGCTGTTTAAGGATTTGGGAACCAAAGTTCAAAACTGAAGATTTAAGTGGAACTGTCTTTGGCTTTTTATAAGTCAGAAATACTTGGCTTAACTACTGCAAAATCTTACACGTGAAATGTCAGTCCTTTTAACTTGGAATTTGGCAAGCAGCGGGAAGCGCATCCAATGGCCGAGCAACATTTCACCATGATTTTAGCAAGTCATAACAGAACTGAAAGAAAGTTAAAACGGTAAGAGTTAATACCTTCAAAGCTAAGGCGGACATACTGACTTTTCCCAGCGTGTTTCACGTACCGTGAACTCATGCTAGAAAGCCAAAAGCAAATATTTTGAGACCAGCAGCTTTAAAAGTTTTCCAGGGACTTGGCTCTTCAAAAGGCAAACCGGATTTCACTGCACCCTCTGCGGTCTGACTCCACCTTGCAGGCTTGTACCTTTCCCTTCCGCGGCTTCTTACCGGAACCAGGCCGCAAGGCCTTTACACGCTAACTCCTACAAAACTTTCGGCTCCGTGTTGCTTCATTTTTGTCAAGGGAGCTCTTCCTTGACACTCAGCTTAAATCACATCGCCTCTACATTAGATCTCACGGAACACACTCTTCTGCCTAGCACTTCTCACAGCTGTGATCTTATTTCAGTGATTTTCTGATTAACGTCTTTCTCCCTTACCGGTCTGTGAGTTCCAAGCGGGCATGGTGGGGCGTGTGCTTTTTCTCACTTTTTGTCCAGCGAAGCGTGCGACGTGCGGGCGAAGGTCCGGGCGCCTAGCAGCTGCAGAAGCGGCGCGCGCAGGTACCGGCTCACAGCCCCGCGGACCCGCGGGGCTCAGCCCGTTTTACGAGGTCACAGGTGCGGATGCGGCCGCAGAGCATCCCTTCCTCAGGGGGCCACCAGGCTCCTCCGCGCCGCTGCGGTCCCCCTCGCCTCGAACCGCACCCAAAGTTTGGGCGAGTAGCGGTGGCGGGGGGGGGGCAAGGGGACAGAAGCAGCCTAAGAGTTATTCCCGTTAGCAGCGAAGGCAGCCACTAACGTCGACGACACATTGCGTTTCCCTTCCCTTCCGCCCCCTTGCCCCGGGAGCCGGAAATCCGGCCGCCCCGGGGTCACACGCTCAGTCGCCATAGCAACTAGGTGGTAGTGACGCTACTTCTCTGGGCGTGGTTTCCATCGGGCGCGGGGGCAGGGTCCGTGGAGTTCCGGTGGAGGCGGAGAAGATGGCGGCTTCGGCGCGGGAAGATGGCGCCCGAGGCCAAAAGCGAGGGCTGAGGGGCTGCGAGCACTACGACAGAGGGTGTCTCCTGAAGGTGACGACTTCAACGGGCTCTTCCCTTACAAGCTTCCGCCGGGTCAGGCGTGGGGCGGAGTGGGCAAGGCGGTTGGGTTTGGGCTTAAATTAGAGGCCAAATTGTTTGTCAGGAGACCGTCGCCTCGCCCTGGGTTTCTGCGTAGAGAACGTTCAGGGGACGCGACCACAGGCCGCACCTTAACTCCTGCTTTGTAAGCAAACTTTGTAAGCAAAACTCTTTGGGAAGAGTCTGGTCTTGCACACCAGTCACTACTAATGTGATTTATTTCGTCTTTTGCTACTCTAAGTAGGCCGAGGCACCCCGGGCCTGGGCTGGCATTTCGCCATGGTGACTTTGAGGTGTGTGATGGAATCATGGAAGAGGGATAAGTAAGTAGAGGATCGGGATACGAGGTCAGCTCCCGTAGTAAGTAAGCTTTACGGCTTGCCAGCTTCGTTATAGAGCCCATGAGTATGCCTGAGCCTGCAAAGGAGAAAATGTTTTTGCGAGATAGAAAGACAGCCCTGTAATTGCCACTAAATAGGAGATTATGGGCAGGAAAATGCTTAGTATACATATATTGTTACTTTTACTCTGCGAGGAAAATTGCTAGTCAATCTAGAACTTTTTAAATTGGCCCCCATTCAGTTTAAGTTTCCTGGTTTTTTGTTGTTTTTGTCGCAAGAAGCAGTTTAAAGATTTTACTTAGAAAGCTTGAGCTTTGGAGTCCCACAGCTGTACCCCCAAATCTAGCTCTGACCCTGGATAGCTTAGTGCTTTTGAGCAAGTGCTGTTTGTGCAACTGGGGTGATAGAAGTTGCCGTTTCATTAAAAAAAAAAAAAAAGTATGAGGCCTCTAAGGACAACCTAGGGCTGCCTCTGTAGGCCAGGCTTGGTGAACGTGTCTCCAGTGCACGGGGTGAAGCTCTATCAAAGTTCACCGAGTGTTGTGTAAGCAAATTGAATGCTATGGTTAGGATTCCGTTTCCACCGATACTTCCTGTTACTTTTTGAAAATTGGTAATTAGAACTGAATTCAGCATGTTGGCCCTTTCCCCCAGAAGCCACATAGATAAGTCTGTGTTTCATAGCGCTGAGATACTTGACTCTAAGTATCAAATACTTTTTTGCCTTCCCCCTCCTTCTTCCGTAAATACCAGAAGCCGAGTGAAGAGTTTTAAGCAAGAAATAATTGACTAAATTAAATGCTGTTTGGGAAGATAAGAACTGAAAATTGACCTTTAAATTTGGCAAGGATGTATGTCACTGGTGATCTTGACAAGAGACATTTCAGTGGTGAGATTGGGACAAAGCCTCATTGGAGTGGATATGAGAGAGAATGAGAGTAGTGAAACTGGAAATAGCCTCTGTAGACAATTCTTGGAGTTTTGCTGTAAAAGAGAGCAAAAAAAAAATAATAATGAGGCTGTGGTTGATGAGAGATGTGGATCATGAGATTTTTTTTTTTTTCCCCTTTAAAACAGGAGGTATTACAGCATATTTCCATATTCTTGGAAATGACCCCGTGAAGTGAGAACTTTTTTTTTTTTTTTTTAAGGTTTTACTTATTTGAGAGAGAGGGAGCACACATGAGCTGGGGGAGAGGTTGATGGAGAGGGAGAGGCAGACTCCCTAATGAGCAGGGAGCTTAAAGCAGGGCTCATCCCAGGACCCTGAGACCATGACCAGAGCAGAATACAGATTGCTTCATGGACTGAGCCATCCAGGTGCCCCAAAGCAAGAACATTTTATAATGCAGAAGGGAAAGGGAAAACTATAGGACCGCTTACCGCCCTTAGTAGTCAAAGAAGAGATGGAATCCAGTGTCAAGGGGAGGAGCTGGCCTTAGAGAAAAACATCTAACAGAAGGGAAGAATGATGATTGGGTACATTTGCAAATAGGTTGATAGTTTGTGAGAGAATGTTTTTCTTTTGGTTATTTGTATTTTCAAAATAAGCAGGGTTATGAGCCAAGTGTAAGGGTGGAGGAAAAGGTTTAGAGAAGATATGAAATAAAATCATCTAGATTTTAGGTCCTAGACTGTAGACGAATGAAGGAATTGACTAGGGGAAACTTGGTAGTAAAAACCCACTTTTTTATTAGTATCATGACTTAAAAGTGAGACCAGTGCTGTTTTTCTTCAACTATATCTGACTGTTCTCTCCAACAGAAGAGAATTGGATTTAACCACTTGGGGTTTTGGTTAGGATAGTATTTAGAGGAGGAGAGAAGGACGGAGCTAGAGTTATGTGCAAGGGAAGCATCTAATGAGTTGGAAAGTGAAGAGGTAATGGTTAGAGAATTTCATGCTTGAAATTAAGATATAAACAGGATTTAGTTCTTGTTTTACAGCAGTGGTTTTCAAAGTGTGGTGAATGGACCCCTTGGTGATTCCTGAGGCCCTTTCAGGGGATCCTCCAGTTCAAAACTACTTTCTAATACTAAGGTGTTTTTTTCAGTGTGTGCAAAAGCAGTGATTAAAACTGCTGGCAAAAAACAAAAAACAAACAAACAAAAAAAAAACCACAAAACTGCTGGCACCTTAGCAGAAATGAAGGTAGTGGCACTGACCTGTACTACACCTATAGTTAAAAAACAAACAAACAAAAAAACCCAAAACGTTTTCATTTTAGAATGTCAGTGATAAAATTAAAGTGATAGAATTAAAGTAATAAAATTATTAATTTTATAAAATCTCAACTTTTGAATATATATCTATTTACGTGTTTGGTGAAATGGGATGTTCAAGCACTTCTGCAAACTAAAATTAGATGGTAGATGGTTGTGACGAAAGTTCTTATGCAGTTGGATTGTGAACTGAAATAGTTTCTCATACAATTTTTACTTGAACTTGGTTGTTCAGACTTGAGTATTTGGTAAGCACTTTCTCAAAAAGTGAACTGTTGAAAAGAAACTGTCATTACAAGGAAAACAATTGACAGTGGTAAAATTCAAGCTTTCACATAAAAATTAGAATTTTGGAATACTTGTATAAGCCTCTTTGAGCTTGAAAATATTCCAATACCTAATGACTTTGCTGATGAGATCGGTGGTGATATTAACAAATATTTTTTTATATTGCATGGAAAATGTGTGAACATTTGGAAGACCTGTAGAACTCAGTGAACTGATATTTTCTGAATGACTAATTCGTGGGTAAAAGATTGATTCAAAATACAAAATCAGTGGGTCTTGCATTCTGAAATAACAGAGGGAGAAAAGTTCACTGATGCAATTTCAGAGTCCATGTTACAATTGATCATTTATAAGAGTTGTCAGGTTTTGGTGTAGTATTAGAGAATATCCATAATTCTCTCTAAAGGCCAAAATACTTAAAATACTCCTCCCTTTTCCAATTGTATATTTGTGGGAGTCCAGAGTTTCTTCATATACTTCAACTAAACGGAATACGGAAGTTGAAGCAGAAATGAGAATCCAGCTATTTTGGGGGAAACTGTTTTTCATTAAAATATGTCATTTACATTAACATGTAATGGGTTCATTACTATTATTTTTAAAAGAAGTAATACTTTAAAAACCTTTCAGTTTTATAGTATGGTTTCAGTAGACATAATGCACATAATCAAAAGCTCTTTGAGATCCTCAGTAATTTTTAAGAGTGTAAAGGAATTCTAAAACCAAAACGTTTGAAAACTACTGTTATGTGGTTTGACCATGAGAATATGTGGCTGAGGAGTGTTGGAGGGCAAGGCTATTGGAAGTGAGAAAGCCAAGAAATTGGGAGTTCAGAGTATTGGAAGGATTATTGTGGTGGATGTGCAGATCACTAAGATTTAGGACAAGAATAGTTTTGGGAGAGAAAAGATGCCAGTTACTCAACTTGTTAAAATCTTTAAGGAATGAACTGTGTTGTGGTAAATCATAGGATAAGAAATCTTCAGAAATGAGTGGATCTGGAAGGTCATAGTATAGTGGAAAGTACGGGGTTAATTTACTGGCTTAGAAACTCATTGATGTACTAGTTAGGATAAGGCTAAGTTACAACAAAAAAAAAAAACCAGCAATAATGTGGGTTTAAGAATAAAGAGTTTATTTTTTCCCACCTAACAATTTCAAAGTGAATTATCCAGTTTGGTGATGAGACTGTTCCACATGATCACCCAGGGACACGTTTTTCCCATTGTATTATTTTGCCATGTTTTAGGGCATGCAGTCATCAGCTGGGTTGCTGCCATGTCCAGGTTTCATCTGATGGAAAGGGGAAAGGGAGCGTGGAGGAGAAGGCATGCCAGTTTCTTAATATTCAGGCTCAGGAGTGGCACTGATATCTTCTGCTCATATTCTTTTGGTAAGAACTTAGTTGTTTGGCCACAGCTGAAATCAAAGAAGGCTGGGAACTGTAGTATAGCTGGGCAATCATGTGTCCAGGAGGAAGGAGAGAAAGGATTTTGGTAGTCTGCCACTCTTAAAATAAGTCTCTTACATTTATTGTATCTTATAAAAAACATCAAGGATATAGTTGATGATTAATAAGTACAAGTGAATTAAAATATAATCTTTATTATAGTTAATGTTTAAGTGTTGAAATAGTTAAATGAATTATCTAGAAATAGCTCAGAAGAAGTTACCTGTCTGGTGTTTACAGGCTGAGGATAAATTTAGGGTGTCGTGGGATTAGTTCTTCAGTTGTGGATGTCCATTCTTCATAATTCTTTTGTCTTTAAGGACCGGATTATGTTCAACTTGATACAGACATAGATGTTAAAGGGGATACTTAAAATATGCTAAAAAAAAAAACCAGTGAAAAGTTATGTTTAGCATCAGTTTACAAACTGATCCATTGGTTGTATTCTTTGACTTCGTTATAGGAGGAGGAGGAAGAAAAATTTAATTTTGCATTGTAAACCTGTTCTTCTTATAACTCTTTTCCCCCCTGGGCATTAGGCACCTTGCTGTGACAAACTTTATACTTGTCGGTTGTGTCATGATAACAATGAAGATCATCAGCTAGATCGCTTTAAAGTAAAGGAAGTGCAGTGCATAAACTGTGAAAAAATTCAACATGTAAGATTTTATTTCTATTTTCTTTTTAAAAAATGTTAAAGTGATTTACAAAATTTTTTTTGATTTACAAAATTTAATTAAGAGTATTGCAAATAAGATCTATATGCAATATCTTTGATTTAAATGTTTAAAACCTTGTAAAAATCAGCATATCAGCATATATTACAACATAAATTGTGGGTATTCAAGTAATAATACAAAATGTGTTGGTAAATTTAATCTAATTTTTAATTTCATGTGTCTGCTTTAGGCCCAACAGTCCTGTGAAGAATGTAGCACATTGTTTGGGGAATATTATTGCAGTATATGCCATCTCTTTGACAAAGACAAGAAGCAGTATCATTGTGAAAACTGTGGAATTTGTAGGTACTGTATGTAAAATGTTTTCTAATTACTTTTAACATACCTGGGCAATAATAGTTTTAAAATCAACTCTGTTGGGATAAAATTTGCATCTAATAAAAATGCATTCATTTTAAGTGTCCAGGTTAGTAAGTTACCAACATGATCAAGATAAAAAGCATTTCCATTATACTAAAAAAAAATGTTCATGTCTCTTTTGTAGTAATAAGTAGGTAGCCCTTCAGCTATTGTGTGGCTATTTAAAATTTTTAAATTTAGATGTGAAATATGCTTTTATATGAAGAATTTGTAGGCAACTGAAGTAGAAAATTAGGGTGGGCTTTTCTTTTTAAACAGTTATTATTATTTTTAAACCAGCTAAGGTTTAAACATTTATTTATTTAATTTTTTTTATGTTTTTTTTTTGTGTGTGTTTTTTTTTATTGGAGTTTGATTTGCAAACATATAGTATACCACCCATCCCGTCAAGTGCCTCCCTCAGTGCCTGTCACCCAATCATCCATCCCCCCACCCACCTCCCCTTCCACTACCCCATGTTCTTTTTCCAGAGTTAGGAGTCTCTCGTTTTGTCACCCTCTCTGATTTTTCCCACTCATTTTCTCTCCTTCCCCTATAGTCCCTTTCACATTTTTTTTATATTCCCTGTACAAGTGAAACCATATAATGTTTGTCCTTCTCTACTTCACTCAGCATAATACCCTCCAGTTCCATCCACGTCGAAGCAAATGGTGGGTATTGGTCCTTTCTGATGGCTGAGTAATATTCCATTATATGTATACACACCACATCTTATCCATTCATCTGTCAAAGGACATCATGGCCCCTTCACAGTTTGGCTATTGTGGACATTGCTGCTATAAACATTGGGGTACAGGTGTCGTGGTCTGTCACTGCATCTGTATCTTTGGGGTAAATACCCAGTCATGCAATTGCTGGGTTATAGGCTAGCTCTATTTTTAACTCTTTGAGGAAATTCCACACAGTTTTCCAGAGTGGCTGTACCAGTCCGCATTCCCAGCAACAGTGTAAGAGAGGGTTCCTTTTTCTCCACATTCTCTCCAACATTTGTGGTTTCCTGTTTTGTTAATTTTCGCCATTCTCACTTGTGTGATTTTGATTTGTATTTCCCTGATGGCCAGTGATGTGGAGCATTATCTCATGTGCTTGTTGGCCATTCTGTGTCTTCCTCTGTAAAATTTCTGTTCATGTCTTTTGCCCATTTCATGATTGGATTGTTTGTTTCTTGGGTGTTGAGTTTAATAAGTTCTTTTTTTTAAAATTTTTTTTAAAATTTATTTATGATAGTCACAGAGAGAGAGAGAGAGAGAGGCAGAGACACAGGCAGAGGGAGAAGCAGGCTCCATGCACCGGGAGCCCGATGTGGGATTCGATCCCGGGTCTCCAGGATCGCGCCCTGGGCCAAAGGCAGGATCCAAACCGCTGCGCCACCCAGGGATCCCTAATAAGTTCTTTATAGATCTTGGATACTAGCCCTTTATCTCATATGTCATTTGCAAATATCTTCTCCCATTCTGTAGGTTGTCTTTTAGTTTTGTTGATAGTTTCTTTTGATGTGCAGAGGCTTTTTTATGCTGATTAAGTCCCAGTAATTCATTTTTGCTTTTGTTTCCCTTGCCTTCATAGATGTATCTTGCAAGAAGTTGCCCTGGCCAAGTTCAAAAAGGGTGTTGCCTGTGTTCTCTAGGATTTTGATGCATTCTTGTCTCACAGTTGGATCTTTCATCCATTTTGAGTTTATCTTTGTGTATGGTATAAGAGAATGGTCTAGTTTCATTCTTCTGCATGTGGCTATCCAATTTTTCCAGCACCATTTATTGAAGAGACTGTCCTTTTTCCAGTGGGTAGTCTTTCCTGCTTTATCGAATATTAGTGGACCATAGAGTTGAGGGCCCATTTCTGGGTTCTCTGTTGTGTTCATTGACTGTGTCTGCTTTTGTGCCAGTACCACACTGTCTGATGATCACAGCTTTGTAGTACCACCTGAAATCCGGCATTGTGATGCCCCCGGCTCTGGGTTTCTTTTCAATATTCCCCTGGCTATTCAGGGTCTTTTCTGATTCCACACAAATCTCAAGATGATTTGTTCCAACTCTCTGAAGAAAGTCCATGGTATTTTATTAGGGATTGCATTGAATGTGTAAATTGCTCTGGGTAGCACTGACATTTTCACAACATTAATTCTTCCAATCCATGAGCATGGAGTGTTTTTCCATCTCTTTGTGTCTTCCTCAATTTCTTTCAGAAGTGTTCTGTAGTTTTTAAGGTATAGATCTTTTACCTCTTGGTTAGGTTTATTCCTAGGTATCTTATACTTTTGAGTGCAATTGTAAATGGGATTGACTCCCTAATTTCTTTTTCTTCAGTCTCATTGTTAGTGTACAGAAATGCCACTGATTTCTGGGCTTTGATTTTGTATCTTGCCACATTGCCGAATTGCTGTATGAGTTCTAGCAATCTTGGGGTTGAGTCTTTTGGGTTTTCTACATACAGTATCATGTCATTTGTGAAGAGGGAGAGTTGACTTCTTTGCCAATTTGAATGCCTTTGATTTCTTTTTGTTGCCTGATTGCTGAAGCTAGGACTTCTAGTACTATGTTAAACAACAGTGGTGAGAGTAGACATCCCTGTTGGGTTCCTGATCTTAGGGGAAAGGCTCCCAGTGTTTCCCCATTGAGAATGATATTTGCCTTGGGCTTTTCACAGATGGCTTTTAAGATGCTGAGGAATGTTCCCTCTATCCCTACACTCTGAAGAGTTTTGATCAGAAATGGATGCTGTATTTTGTCAAATACTTTCTCTGCATCTATTGAGAGGATCATATGGTTCTTGTTTTTTCTCTTGTTGATATGATCTATCATGTAGATTGTTTCTCGAGTGTAGAACCAGCCTTGCATCCCAGGGATAAATCCCACGTGGTCATGGTGAAGAATCTTCTTAATATACAGTTGGATCCTATTGGCTAGTATCTTGTTGAGAATTATGCATCTGTGTTCATCAGGGATATTGGTCTAAAATCTTTTTGGTGGGTCTTTGTCTGGTTTTGGAATTAAGGTGATGCTGGCCTCATAGAACGAGATTGGAGGTATTCCATCCTTCTATCCTTCGAAACAGCTTTAATAGAATGGGTATTGTTTCTTTAAATGTTTGATAGAATTTCCCTGGGAAGCCATCTGGCCCTGGACTTTTGTGTTTTGGGAGGTTTTTGATGATTGCTTATTTTCTCCCTGGTTATCTGCCTGTTCAGGTTTTCTTTTTCTTCCTGTTCCAGTTTTGGGAGTGTGTGGTTTTCCAGAAATGCGTCCATTTCTTCTAGATTGCCTAATTTATTTATGGATAGCTGCTCATAGTACGTTACTAAAATTGTTTGTATTTCCTTGGTATTGTTTGTGATCTCCTTTCTCATTTGTGATTTTATTAATTTGAGTCTTCTCTCTCCTTTTTAATTAGGCTGGCTAATGGTTTATCTATCTTATTAATTCTTTCAAAGAACCAACTCCTGGTTTTGTTGATCTGTTCTACAGTTCTTCTGGTCTCTATTTCATTGAGTTCTGCTCAAATCTTTATTAACTCTCTTCTTCTGCTTGGTGTACGTTTTATTTGCTGTTCTTTCTTCAGATTTTTAGGTGTGAGGTTAGCTTGTGTAGTTAAGTTTTTTCCAATTTTTTGAGGGATACTTGTATTGCAGTGTATTTCCCTTTTAGGACTGCTTTGCTGTTTCTCAAAGATTTTGAATGGTTGTATTTTCATATTCATTTTCCATGAATCTTTTTTATTCTTTTCTAATTTCGTGGTTGACCCATTCATCTTTTAGTAGGATGCTCTTTAATCTCCTCGTGTTTGAGTGTCTTCCAAATTTCTTCCTGTGATTAAGTTCTAGTTTCAAGGTATTGAGTTCTCAAAGTATGCAGGGGACAATCCCAATCTTTTGGTGTTGGTGGAGACATGATTTGTAACCCAGTATGTGTTCTATGCTGGAGGAAGTTCCATGTGCACTTGAGAAGAATGTGTATTCAGTTGCGTCCAGATGCAAAGTTTTGTGTATATCTGTGAAATCCATCTGGTCTTGTGTATCATTTAAAGCGCTTGTTTCTTTGGTGATATTGTGCTTAGATTTGTCATTTGCTGAAAGTGCTGTGTTGAAGTCTCCTACTATTAATGTATTATTATCTAAGTATGTCTTTACTTTGGTTATTGATTGATGTACTTGGCAGCTCCACATTAGGGACATAAATATTCATGATTGTCCGGCCTTCTTGTTGGATAGATCCTTTAAGTATGATATAGTGTCCCTCTTCATCTCTCACTATAGTCTTTGGGATAAACTTTAATTTTTCTGATATGAGGATTGCTACCCCAGCTTTCTTTTGAGGACCATTTGAATAGTAAATGGTTCTTCACCTTTCATTTTCAGGCTGTAGGTGTTCTTAGGTCTAAAATGAGTCTCTTATACACAGCAAATAGATGGATCTTGCTTTTTTATCCAGTCTGAAAACCTGCGTCTTTTGATGGGATCGTTTAGCCCATTCATGTTCAGAGTTACTATTGAAAGATACGACCTTAGTGTCATAATACCTATTCAGTCCCTGTTGTTGTGGATTGTTTCTTTGTGCTTCCTCTTTCTTTAAAGGGTCCCCCTTAGGGATCCCTGGGTGGCGCAGCGGTTTGGCGCCTGCCTTTGGCCCAGGGCGCGATCCTGGAGACCCGGGATCGAATCCCACGTCGGGCTCCCGGTGCATGGAGCCTGCTTCTCCCTCTGCCTGTGTCTCTGCCTCTCTCTCTCATTCTGTGTGACTATCATAAATAATAAATAAAAATTAAAAAAAAATAAAGGGTCCCCCTTAATATATCTTGCAGAGCTGGTTTAGTGGTCATATATTGTTTCAGTTTCTGCCTATCCTGGAAGCTCTTTTTCTCTCCTATTCTGAATGAGAGCCTTGCTTGATATAGTACTTTTGGCTGCATGTTCTTCCCGTTTAGTACCC